CTGCCCTCCCCGTCCTCGCCGCCGCCGCCTCCTCGACTTCTGCCCCACCCGGGTCACAGCGACCACATCCGAGAGCCCGTCGGAGCGACCCGAGCCAAGGGCCCGGAGGGGAGCCTCTGCCTCTCCGGCTATTTATCTCCAGGTTGCTCCCGCTTCCCCCTCCTCGCTTGTCTGGGGTTTCTTTTTCTTTTTTTTTTCTCCCCTTTTTTCCTCCCTCCCGCCCCACGACTAGGAAACAAAGAAATAAAAAATAATTTCAGATCCGTCCCTCCCCGCCGCCGCGTCCCCGCGCGCAGCCGCCGCGCTCCGCCTCGCCCCTTTTCAGGCACGGGCCAATCGGCGGGGCGGAAAAGAGGAGGCCGACGGGCGACACAATCAATCAACGCGGAGGAAGGGGATAGAGAGGCGGGTGGCGAGACCAATGAGAAGATGGGCTTTCAGGATCCCGCCCCTTTTTGGGCGGCCAAAGCCCACCTTTCCATAAGAGCGGCGTCCCTAGCAGCCTGTGTTAGCAAGCAGTTGGTATATTGATAATAAAAAGACCCAATAGTTGGACGGGAGAAACTGAGGTGGGTGGGACAGTCTGATTATTCCTCCAATAGAAGAAAAGTGAGGATCTTTTTTTTTTCCCCTCCTCTCCCACCCCTCACTTTGACATTTGGGGGGACGGCCCGCTCCAGTTTGATGGACGGGCCTCCTGGCCTGTAACATGCCGACGGAACAGTCGCGTCGCCCAAGGACCAAAGGTAAAAAGAGAAGAAGAAATACAGTGATCCCGAGGCGTTCTAGCCCAGCTTGCTCATGGTCCCGCCCTCCGACGTGATTGCTAGGGGGGATTACCCAATGGCGAACCTTCTTGGAGAAATTGTTTCAGCGAAGGCCAATCGAAAATAAGAAACGCGGGACCGGGCAAAGGCCGCGTAAAGAGACCTGGGAAAGCGAGTCTTTGCCAATCAGGGAGGGAGTTCCCCCCCTCCGCGTAGCTGCTCCTCATTAAAGCGGGAGTTTACGAGCCACGAGTATCTACGAGGGAAATTTGCAGCCTCGATCAATAATGTTTTTTTTTAATTTCCGGTTTGCCAGTTTATTTTTTTTACGACCCCCCCCCCACGCTGAGCACAGATGTTTCCTTGGAAGTCAATGAATGGGAATTGCTATGAATGGGATGCCGTTGCCCCTTCCACCTGCGGGCGAAAGCCTTGCGATTCTGGTAGCCCGATCCTATGCAATGCATGTTTACCCAGAAGTAAGGCTGTGTTCCTGGGTGGGCTTTCCTGCAAGCAGGGGTTGCAGCTGGCGTGGAGGAGAAAAGCGCTGCAAATGAAAGCAAATGGTTTGGGGGGGAGGGAATCCCCATTATATATCCGGAAATGTGTGTGTGTGTGTATACACACACACACACATATATATGTGTATATATGTAATAATAATAATTTATTGTCATTGTAAGTATATACACAGTATATGTGTGTGTGTGTGTATACACACACACACACATATATACATATATATACATATATACAGTATATACATATATATCTTCACTCCCCCAAAAGAAGATTCCCAGAGCAAATGACAACAATCGTAGAAGGACACACAACGACAGACCCACGTGAAAACCAACAGACACGTCCGCAACCAGCAAGGAGACAGATGGAAACAACTAGCCAAAGAAGCAAGAAAGGATTTCTCAAGAACAAAAGGCGGCAATGACTTTTCCTCTTGCCCACATGTGAGGTCCTTTTACTGCAGAAAAGATGATGGGGGAACCTGGCTGAAACGGAACACCTTTGAGTCTTGACAAGCCTGTAAGGCTGTTTCAGGTTCCTTCATGGAAGCAGAGTGATAGGTGGACAAACGGACACACACGTCTCTTCCCATCGCTTGAAGTTTGTTTTGGGGGAGGGAATTACCCTGCTTTTCTCACTGAGACTTGACAGAGGTTTACAGTTAATAAGACAGATGCTAAGATTTCTGCTGCACCTTAAGACTGTCTTTGCACCACAGCAGGGAATCTATAGGTCTCCAGATGTTTCTTGACATTCAGCCAACATGGGCCCTGGTCCTGGATGATGGAAGCAGAAATATAATGAGAGCTACAGTTTCTCCATCCCTATTGCTGATGTTTGCTTTGTTGTTTCAGATGTTTCTTGACATTCAGCCAACATGGACCCTGGCCCTGGATGATGGAAGCAGAAATATAATGAAATCTCGAGAGCTACAGTTTCTCCATCCCTACTGCTGATGTTTGCTTTGTTGTTGTTTAGTCGAGTGAGTCTGACTCTTCATGACCCCATGGACAAGAGCACACCAGCACCACAACATAAATAACTCAAGCACATGTCTATATATAAAGAACCAAATTTCAAAGCACTATGAGCTTATTCTATTCTGCATGTATTTTAAACAGTAAAATTTCTTTAATGAAAACCAACTGATCATGGTATTATTCACTTTCAACTGCTGGCACAAACGCACACGAGGAGAATATCATTTTTACTTTGTATGTGTGTCTTTTTTTAAATCGTAACATTTGAAATCACTGTGTGCAAACTCTCTCAGTTACATTACATTCATTATATATTATTTTTTAAAACACCAACTCAACCCAGCATCTGACTTTGTATGTGTGTCTTTTTTTAAATCGTAACACTTGAAATCACTGTGTGCAAACTCTGTTACATTACATTCATTATACAGTATATTATTTTTTAAAACACCAACTCATCCCAGCATCTACAAGCTTTGTACAGGATTGGTTCTGCAGCCTAGGGATAGCTTGGGCAGTTGCGACTGAGTTTCCACCAAGATGAAATCCACTGTGGGCTACTTTGGGCATCAACATGTTTATTCAGAAGCAAACCCCAGGGTATTTGTGTTTAATCCAACTGAATAGTAGTGCCATTCATTCATTCATTCATTCATTCATTCATTCATTCATTCATTTAACTTATATGCCGCCCACACTACCCAAAGGTCTCTGGGTGGCTTACAGTTATGTATGGTTGCTGCTGCCAGTGCACGAGGTTTATGCACGATCTTGCCGTGCATAAACTTAGGATTTGTTGGGATCCTTTCCTTCTTCTGGACCACTCATTGACATCTACTACTTGAGATTTATATTTTGTGCTGCTGGGGAGGTGAGCCCTACTAATCCACCAATCTATGCAACAATAACATGGTTTTCCTTTCGTTGTTATCAAATTCTGGTACAAACACTTGAAAAGCCACTTGAAACTGTTTTTAAAATGTCAGCCTTTCACAGTGCCACAAAACTGTGAGGGAGTAGAATATTGCAGTGGGAAGATATGCAAAAGCACTTCCAGAGGTAAACCAGCAACAAAATATTACAAATGTATTCTCGAAGGCTTTCACAGCCGGGATCTGATGGTTGTTGTGGATTTTTTGGGCTCTTTGGCCGTGTTCTGAAGGTTGTTCTTCCTGACGTTTTGTCAGTCTCTGTGGCCGACATCTTTAGAGGCCTGGAGTAGGAACTCTGTCCATGCTCTGTTGCTCTTTGTTGGATAGTTGAGTATTTTGCTTTTCTGTCCCATATCAGGAATGCCTGATAAATTCATTTTGCCAGCAGCTGTCTTTCTTACCATTTTCAGACTGTAATGTACAATGGCCTTTGAGTCTCGGTGTGTGTATCTGTATTAGAGCTTCAACAAGTAACTTTTTTGGATGACAATGTCAAGACTTTCCCAGCCAATATGAAGCTTTTAAAAGGCATTTTCTCAGACTCTGCCCAATCCTTGAGGACTGCCGAAATGACCATTGGCACAAAGCAAATAATGAGATTTTTCCAAAAGTGGTACCTCTGGTAACCACCAGCACAAGTCCAGCTCATGTCAGCAGATTACGGTGAAACGCCTCTGGTCGTAGGTTGGCCTGCTTTCCTGGTATGCCTTAGATAAGAATGTGGGCCTTCTAGGATCTCTTATCACATTCAGACTTTCTCGCTTTCTGTTTTCTGTTCCTTTTGACTCATGAGACATTTGAAGGGGAGAGGAAATATTAATACTTGCTCAACTTTTCCCCTCCCACAAATATTGTACTGAATGGACAATGGCTTCCCGATACCCTTCGAGTCTCTGGATTCGTCTGCCTTTGTTTATGCTCTTTTTGGAAGTTGCTTTCATTCTTATATTTTCCTTCTTGTTTTCATATGACTATTATCTAGAATATCTTCCAAAAGGCCACAATATATATCCAGGTAAGTTCCTTCATGATTAAGAGTTGCAGATTTTCTTCTCTTTAATTGGCAGATTAAGCAAGTCGGTACTTTGCTGCGAATGTACTTCTCCATGGCCGCTTTAGAAGGCTGCGATTCCTCCAGCATGAGAAATGCAATTGTTATTTGTGGTTTTAGCACGACAGTAGCTGTGCTTGCTTGGGGATTTTGGAAGTTATAGTTCAAAAGAAATACATGTCAGAGGAGAATGGTAGCACATAGACCAGTGTAGAATATGTGCTTTATTGTGCAAGAAATCCCAGGTTTAAACCTTGGAAAATACACCTGTGTAAAATGGTGGTCAGCCAGTTATTAATGACAATAATAGGCTAGATAAACCAATGTGGTACCTTAGTCAGATACACCTTCAAGTACAGAACTGTCAATTGTAAAGCTGGGCAGTGTAAAAGGAATACCCATTTTAGGGAGACTCTTGTAGATCTTAAATGCTCACTCTGGTTCTTGGTATTTTAGTGATCTAATAAAGTGATTATTCCTCTTGTTTCTAGACAACCTAGTTAGTTTTCCACCAACAGTCCCTAAACTTGTGTTTACACTGCTCACCTTACACAGCCTTCAAACTAGATCTTATATTCAGACTCTCTTCTCCCAAATTATTTCCCGAGAAGCTCTATGTGTGTGTGTGTGTGTGCGTGCGCGCGCGCGCAAATTCCTTAAATCACATGGACAAGGCTGATCATGGCATATCTTTCCAAT